ACCCGCAGGCCCCAGGCAGACGTGACACAACCGGCTCCAGGGCGCGGGGTCCCGTGGCTCGAGAGCCGAGCGAGAGTTGCGTTGCCGCCTTTGGGAGCCTCTCGCTCTGCGTTACAGCCGTACTTCACACAGTTGAGACTGGAGCTGCTGAAGAGGCTCTTGGCCTAATAATTACAGCAACTATTTACCTCCGTGTGTTTGTTCCATCGAGGCAGGTACTGCACACTCCTTGCCTCCTTCTGAGCGCCGCTGGCAGGATTCCTTTGCGCTGCTGCAGGAGAGCTGCCATAGCCCGCTAACGGCTTCCTCGGGGGAACGCGGAGATGGTATTCCAAACAGCTGGGGCCAAGGAAACCCAAAGCTGCACGCAGAGAGAAAACCACTAGCCCCCTTTCAAAGTTCTTTTTACTCCCTTTTGCCATTAAAATGAGTTTTGATCCTGTCGGAAGAACCGAGTGTTTTGAACTGGATGCCACACATTCCCTGCTCCGTGTCCAGACTCCATCTCCTTAGAGGGCCCCATTGTGTCTGGCAGAACGAGGAGTGTTTGGGGGCTACTGGCAGGAAGGGGGGCTGTGGAAGGACTCCAAACTTCAGCTGCTGGCAGGGAGAAAATGCCCCGAAGCCACGGGTTTATCAGGAAGAGGCTCTTCATCGACACGGAAAAGCCAGCTCATGTTTTGAAACACTTACATCGCAGGACCACAGAGGGATGCGGGGGGGATGGCGACACAAACGCAGTTATTAAACACACCGGCAAGTTCCTTCCTCACCTCCCCCTATTCCTCAAACAGGAGTGCAGTGAAGAAAGGAAAAAGGAAAAATTCCCATCCGTGTAGAATTCCTAGTCTGTTTAAAAAACCTGATCTTATCACAGCACGCTACCAATACGGGAGAGAAAAGGCTTTCACAAACCTTGGATCACAGGCAAACAGTTACATCCATGAAAGGAACATGGGAAAGAGAAGGGAATAACGGAAACTGGTGAAAGAAGCACCAGCTGAGAATAAAGTTAGTAACAGAATACTTTAGTTTTCAGACCAACCTGCCAAGGTTAGAACCTGCATGGACATAATTCTGTGCTCCATACACAGCAACACCGCAGGGCTGTAAAAGAGACCATGGAGCCACCGTGGTCTATAGAACATTTTTCATTTTCTGTTAAACTTTGAGCCTTCCCAAAATGTACAATAACCTTCACTGGAATCCCTCCCATCCCCTCATATCCTCCCCCTGTCAATTTAGCCATCTGAATTAATACTATTTCAGAGCACTGACACACTTGATTTTTCTCCTAGCTAGTAACTATTAAGTAAAACAAACTGGCACACACATTCCATAGTAATAAATATCCCTTCACACATACTTCCCCCCAAAAAAGTGATAACGCTCTTTTTGTGATAGTTGTAATTTTTTTTTTGAATGGTTCTGCTGTCCAATTTATTTAAGTTAGAATTTTGTCTTTTCTAAATCTTGAACCATTCCATAGTATATCTTTATTGCAAAAAAGTCAACATGCATCTTAGAAATTCAGATTGTAATCAATAAAACAAACATTACATATATGAATTTAAATGTATAAACAGTTAGAAATTCAACAATATCTCCTATTACACTATTACACAAGTTCACAATTTGTAAAAACTATAGTACAAGTTTACTATACACCAAGAGGAACTTTATTCCTTTTCACATGATTTTGTTAAAAGTGTTGTTTTCACAAGAAGCAGGCAACTGTTTGCAGATTCATCTTTTCAACCCAAGTTTCGTTTGTTCTTTTCGCTTCGGTTAATTAACAATGAATGGGAGATAAGGTTTCGTAACAGGTACTTACTTTTCTATCACATACTTTGTCAGTGTTTGTGCCCTAAGTTCAGACTAATTACACATGGCCTGTAAATACATTGGCTGCAAAACCAAGTTCTGTTGCTGATTATAAATTTTGTTTAAGGTGCTCTCCGAAAGTACGCGCGAACGTCACAATAAAACGTTGCCATAAAAAAAGTAAGCTGTACTGTCAGGTTACCTGTTAAACCAAACCACCCCAGCAGTTTAAGACAGCCTAGCATCCCCTAAACCAGCTCTGGCAAGCGAAGGTCACTGCCAAAGAGCTTTCCTGCCCCTGAGCCACCGGCCGTCAGGCCCCGCCGCGCTGCCCATCACTGACATTCCCAGCATACACACGCCAAATTCAGAGGCACAGCTCCCTCCTGCGCCTCAGCGCTTAGGAATCACGTTTGGGATGTCCCTGGAGGCATTATATGAGCCTGCCACTGTGTGCTGTGAAGGGGGAAAAAAGAAAAGAAATCACGTGAAGCTCTCGAACCCCGTTAAATAACGCTCCGGCACTGCTTCCCTCCTGCCTCGCGCAGCCTGAGCGGCCAGCGCCTGCGGGCAGGGCGAGCGTCCCTGAGCACAGCCTGCCAGGCGGGTGCCACCGCACGCAAAAACCATATGAAAAGGAATCCCTGTCTACGTGTGTCAAAGGCTACTGCAATTTTTCTTACAGCTTCATTCATTCACTGTAATTTTCATTTTCCAAATACAAAAATACAACAATTCTTATTGAAATCTATACGCTGGTAGTTTTAGTACACAAAAAAAGCAACATATTTACAAAATTATACAGTTTAAGAAAAAACTCTGTACAAAAAAATATATAAATCCTTTTGTTCCCTCCATCATTTTTTAAACTGTCAGGACTCAAATATGTTTTGTTGCTATGGATTTTTCAAAATATACACTGACTGAGCCACAGACATAAAAAAAAAGGTCAGAGATGATGGGAGAAAAGCAAGACATTCTTGTAAGTACGCAGGATTGGTTTCCCCTCGTTTCTTCATGTCTGTAATTCAGCCTCAGTATTAGCAGGAGAGTCCTAATAGTATAAAGAGGTGAGGTTTCAATGTGCAGAGCCAGAATACTGAAAGACATATTCCCCTCAACTGACAAGGAAACAGAAGATTTGATGCTGTTTTGCCTTTTGATACACCACCGTGGCAAAAGTCTAACAAAGTCAGGGGAACTGTGAGCCCACAGGCACGCTCAACCACACGTCACTAGCCAAGTTCAGAGCCACTGCCACTTCAGGGTTTTGATGTACATTTTTCTTCAGCTGGGAACTTGCTGGCAAATATACTGGTAAACTAGTTATTCAAAAGAAGAGAGCATTTTTGCACCGACATTCTGTTTATTTTGTAGACAAACGTACACGACGTACTGAAAGGTGTACGGTACAAATGGACAGAGTCGGGGAAGGTGCTCACTGGGTAACACGCTCATGAATTGCAAGAGCCGCCAACAGTTACGATACGCGGCACGGTATCTGAACTTGTTACCCTCATTCCTATGATAATACACACCGTTTCGGGGGTGTTAGTATGGGGGTGTGTTTTTCAAATGGTACAACAATAAGGCAACTGAGAATGTAATGGTGCTCATCTTAAATGCGTCTGAACAAAACCATACTCGAAGATACATTAGCGACTTTCCAAAACTGGCTCTGAACGCTCCCCTGAAGGCTTGTCCCTTCAAGCACTGGTTTAATGCAAGTCTTTGAGCAGGACACTGGCGTCCCGTTGGCCAAAAAGCATTTTGCTCTGAATGCTCCATGGATCTGGTTTGAATACAAACCAACAGCTGGTAACTGGGAGAGGAGGAAGTTTCTATGGGCTGTTGGGCAGTTGCCAGTTCCGCTGTTTTTCGTTTTGAGGAGCTACGAAACTCATTACATTCATGTTCACAAATACTGAAATGCAGTAAACAAAGAGTCTGACTTAAACATGAACCTTATACTGAAACCACAGAAGAAAATCAACAGTGAGTGAAACGTCACTCAAATACGTGTCATTGCTGATGTTTTTTGTGAAGCAGAATTTGAAGAAACAGCGAACTGGACAATATCATAACAATACCCTGTTAAATTGCTTCTTCCATCTCCTCCCACAAAAGCAGTAGAACACAGAAACTGTGTGGCTTTCAAACATATCAAAATAAATGATTTATGAATCTAGCCACAAATAATTCCTACAATAAGTGATTCCATATGAAATAAAATGCTACCCTTTTTCAATTAGCAAATGAGGCAATTTTTTCTTTTGTAACATTTAATGAAAGTTTGCGTCTTTCCCCCAACCCCATAATATTGCTAAATAAAACCTGTAATATCTTTTCAATTATAAACTAAGAAATCAATCACATTATAAAAAACCCAAAACAAGGTAATACAGGCGACACAAAAAGAGGACAAGAAAATACTAATATTTTTTTCCCCCCCTCTCTTTTTATCCTTCTTAAATAGAAAAAAATCACCACCCTGGTGAGCTTGATAATTATGTAAAATGTTACTGGGCCTTTGGCTAGCTTAGTATCACAGCTCTATATCCGAAATGTTTTCATAACAAACTTTGCTCACTTTAAATCTTGTGGTTTGAAAAGAAAGTAAAGCTTTTTTTGGCTCATCAACTTCCTTAAATAAATGTTTAAAAGATGTAGCTTGAACTATATTCCTAAAATTATACATTTCCAACATAAAGTTTCATCTTCTCCAAGAACGGGATTCATCCTCATCTTCGTCATCATCATCATCATCTTCGTGCAAAAATAAATCTGAGGTTTCAGTCTCCTAGATAAAGAAAACACGTACTTTTAACAAAGACGTTCCATGCTGTACCCTAGGAAACAAGTCACGTAACACAGCATCAGTTGTACTCCCTATCAGGTTCTTGTTCATCGCACGTCTCACTGAAACGCACACAATTACGTTCAACAAGTTTCACAGGAAGAACAGTAGCCTCACACATCAAGAAAGGAAAAGAAAGCCAACCTTCAACGTCAGTAGGAACAAAGAACCACCCACCCTCTGAAACAACAACTTTTAATGTGTTAAATGCCTAGATGGAAAAACCTTTAAAAGCTTAATGAGTTCATAATCACAGGAAAGAATATAAGTAACTTATCCTACAGTGGAGCATTAATATTGTGAAGCAAAAAGATTAGCAGCCTGCACATAGAGAACGTGGGGTTTGTTTTCATAGTTGACAATCAACATTCCTTCCAGTAACTGTATTTTTTTTTTTCCTTTTCCCTTTTTTAGAATGTGGAAGATGTACCTGACTACCCAAAACCAGTTAAGTTTCTGGTTTGCAAAACCATCTTTTATGAAATCTCTTCACTGAACAGAAAACTGTATCCTAAAAGAGCTCGTGGCTATCAGATTCCTAGAAGAGTGATTAGGTTTTTAACATATTTTCATACCTCTTCCTTAGACTCCTCTTCCTCGATTTCTGTGGACACAGAGGGTACCTTAGGTTTGTACCATGATATCTGTAGCCTTCGGTCTTTGAACCGGGATCCTTGGTTAGCAGCCTAGATGCATTTTAAACAAACATATTTTCAAAAAGACGACCAAGTGCAGAATGTTTAAGATCAACAACAACAAGCTAAACCCAGCGAACATCATGCAGATGCATACTTGAAGATCTCAAACATATAAGCCACAATCCCTCACTTCAGTCTTCTGAGAGCAACTTCACTCAAACCCAAATCTGCTAAATAATGCTCGTCTACCAGCAGTCTGAAAAGATTAACAGAACTCTGAGCTGATCGTGACATTGAACCCTTGTCAGCAGACAGCCTACGTTACTATTAAGGTAAGCATGAGGTATTTCCCCCTGTAGTGACGCTATATGCAGTAGCAACTAATACCCAACACTATCTAGCTCAAACTAGCGGGATCAAAGCCTGCTAAATTTTAAAATACAAAGGCAGACACGAGAAGCGAAAAATTCTTATTTTAGAACCGTGAAAAAAAATAATCCATTGTTCTACTTACATTCTCAGCTTCTGAGCGAGATTTAAAAGTTAGAACAACACTTAATGGGGAATCCTCTTCTTGAAGGTCTTCAATATCTCCAAATTTCTATGTGAGAAAAGTTGATCAGGAACAGTAGTGCTATTCTCCTCCAAAAACATGATCATCGTGTGCTACAACTGCACTGTACTGAAGTGCCACTGGAACCTTACTTTTCGGACAGAAAAGTGAGAGCCAAAGAAATCTCAGCTGCATCATCCAGCGACATTGCAGCATTTGTACTTGTATTTTTTGGCAAAAGCTCAGATTTATTGTTATTCTAAGAAGCGGAGCTTAATTTTGCAGGAGGAAAGGAAATAAGTGTATTAATTTATAGCTCAGGAGTGAATTCTTTGAATCCACTATTTCCCTCATTCTCTTCTGCCCTTCACTGTTGTACTTCTTTAAGACCTGTTAAGCAAGTCCGTTAGAGCTCATTAATTTGCAAAAGAGATTTCAGTAGTAGCAATTGAACTTTGCTATAGAGCTCCTGAACACGTTCTGTAAGTACACTACTGGGAGGAGGAAAAAATATAATCTAGTATCGCTAGATTAACAAGAAGTTTGCTTTTTTAGAATTTATATACTGCATAATGGTAAAAATTGGAATGACCACAGCAGTGATAGTTAAATAGTAAAAAAACCCAACAAACCAAAAAACAAACAAAAAAAAAGGATTTAGGCACGGAGAACAAGCAGCACAAAAAAAAAAATTGTAGTCAACTTCAGATTTAACATGAATACCAGAAGAAAAGTAGTTTAAAAGCCAGTAAGACAATAGTTTGAGTAACAGCATTAGTTGTTTGTAAAAACTTTTACTGGTTTTAGCAGCTACGGGCAGCTTATTCTATTTCTGCGAGACTTCATGTTTTTGAAAACAAAGATCTTTTTAAACAAGGCACTCTGGTCCCCTCTGAGGACGTCTTCAAGGGTTCAAGGCACTGTTAGCATACCATAAAGCAGGTTGGGTTTTTGATCAAACCACACAACATTTTCACTGAGTTTACCTAATCAAAGCAGTAGTAGTGGCTGCCAACCTTTTGATAAGCACTGAGGCCAAAGCAGAGAGTAACAGCTCCCCAGGGAGCAACGCTCACCCCGCTGTGTGAAGAACTGCACAGTTCTCTATTCCCACTCAAAACAGAAACAAGCTTGCAGATGACCAGTTCTCCTGAGAACTCTACTCCTTTTCTGTATCCTGCTCTCAATTCTACAAAACCAGTTTTCCATATCAGTCGCTGTGTAAGGAACATCCAGAAATACCAAACTGACTTGATCAAGGTTAGATTTCATGCTGGGTCTATTGAAGAAATAGTACACAATCTCTCTGAGAAGTTTACTAGGTTTGCACATGAAAACATTTCATTCTGAGAAAAGTAACTGAGGGAAATGTAAAATCAGTTTTTCCCTTATTATGTTAACTTTGTTATGATGCTAACACATACGTTAACTTAAGTACCAGGAGTTCATAAACAAATTTAACTTCTTTGATGTCCTGTTTAGCAAAGTAGTGCTTTGCTTCTTGAGCTAGAGGGAAACAAGATAAATGGTATGAATTGCTAATCTGAAAAATAAATAGACATTTTTCAGCCTTCTAATGTCTGTTTTAAAGTATTTTAATACAGAATTAATAAGAATAAGCTATTTAGCTTTTCCCATTAAAAGAATGCATTGGGCAGCTATTGTAAAGCAGCTGTAAAAGACTTTATGTTTATACCCTTGATAACTCTTGAAGCTGTTTGCTTATGCATAGCCTGTTCCATGAATTCAGGATGAAATCTTTGATTTGTTTGCACTAACAAAAAGACTTGCATCTTCAAGAATTCGGAAAAGAAACAGTTATTTACAAAGTTCCTAGCATGCCTGCTTTTGCAAGTAAACACACACCCAGGGTACTGGTTACCTACTTAATCTCAGATTTATAGTTCAGCCATAATTCTCCTCTTCAGTTTCCCCCCCCGCCAACGTGACCTCATACTTACAGAGAAGTGCTGTAACAATTCATCTTTCTCCTCTTCAATGAAGCCTCCCACTGTTAGTGCTTTGGGACGATGATCCACCACCATATGATTCAACATGCCCCTTCCTCTCCCACCACGACCCCGTCCTCGTCCTCTTCCTTGGGCTGGCGCTGTCTTTCCTCGACCAACTGGCAAAATGCCTAAACGGGCAGCCTGTTTAGAGAGGGCAAAGAATGTACAAAGCCATCCTCCATTTGAAAGGATTTAAAACATTTATATCTCATAAACACATTAAAAGCATCAATCTAGACAAACTCGCCTCTACTTGTAACTGATTTAGCTTTTTTCGCAGTTCAGTTGTGTCTTCTCCAGAAGAGAGTCTCTTATGAAAGTCCAGTTCTGCGTCCAAAAGTTCCTTTTGTGCCTTAGAGAAGAAGATGCAGAAAGAGAGAAATGGAAGGGAAAAGCAGAACAAAGGTGTTAATCCTTTTAATGCTTTATTCCACGTCTTCAGCAATGCATTTATGTAAATGACATATCCATACTTCCCTCTAAATTCAGTTTAATTGCCTCCATGCCCCCCCCAGCCCATTTGTTGAAGGACCCAGAATTCTCTGCCTCTGAACTGGAACAAGCTTGGATGACCTACATACAAAATTCGGCCATCCAAGTTCCTACAACCATAGCTTGCTTGTCTATGGTTATCACTCTTAAAATCAAAATACTGCTTGGAAGTGTTTTCATCTGATGTTGCTGCATTTTAGGACATAATATTAGAAATAGTTACAAAAGACAGGCAGGCTAGTGTCTCGTGCAATAAATACCTCTGTCTTGGACTTTAATTTTGATGGTGTAGAGGTTGTAGATGAAGTTTTTAATTCATCCTTTAACTGAGATATTTTCCCTGCTAGCTCTTTTAAGGTCTTCATTATTTCTGCTCTCTCTTCTGGTTTCATGGCCTTATTTTTCTCCAGCTTGGATATCAACATCTATGTATAATAATACAAAAGAGCAGGAATATAAAATACCAGGAAAACCAACACCAAACAGACAAGTAACTACAAAATCAGAATGTATTTATTAGAAGACGTGCCAGACTTACCTTCTGGCATTCTATTTGTTTTTCTAACATCTCCTGCTTCTTTTTTCTCATGTCTTGTTGGAGTTTCATTGCCTCCTATATAAGAAGGAAATGCTTTCAATCAGTAAAAAGCAGTCTAGCATTATATGTACTCACATATATCATATTTTCTTCTTCAAGCTATAGAAGTGAAGGCCATAATGAAAACTAGTAGTCTGCAAAACACACAAGTATAAAGTGTATCTGATCCGGAAAAAAAAACCATAAGAAGTTGCTAACTTCCGGCTGTGAAGTACTCCACTAAATTTTTGCCCCCTTCAGACACCTCCTAAGAAACATATCCTATACTGTCATTTAAGTGTCTCACACCTGCAGAGATTAAAGTCAGAGAAATGCCTCAAGAAAACCCAGAAAATCCACATACAACCAGTGTGTCAAGTCAGGCACTCCAAAAGAAATGCTGCCTTACCCACGATTAACCTCAACGTGCATTTGCAATAACAGTCCAAAAACGATGACAAAAAACTACAGTGATATTTGAGGGTAAAGTTGCCTATCAAACCTTCCTTTGTAAAGTACTTTGACCACTACACTGTTAGTCAGCCAATAAATAGGAAAGTACCTGTTTTTTTTTAAGGGCTTCTTGCACATCGTGAGGTTTAGACCCTGCACCAGGCTTCATAGATGTCTTCAAGTTTGAAGAACTGTAAACCATTTTTGAGTGGCTTGTAGAAGTAGGAAATGTCTGAAATAGTAAAAACACACACAGAGAAAAATATGTAATAGCTTAAAACATACAATATACCATCAATAAGTTTTGGAGGAATGTATTCTGTGAAATACGAACACCAACTTGCAGATTTGTGCAATGAGACAAAAAGACCAAGGCAGTTAAAACACATGGAAAAAGGCATCAGTCTAAGAGTCAACTTGCTTGGAAACAATCAGCTTAAATGCTTGTTAAAAGGATTTCTGCAAAAGATTCTTCCCTTCTTCATCCAAAACTCCCTCTGTATCTTGATATCCACTAGGAAGACCACTGAACCTGGTCTTCTGCATCTGCATTATACTCAGCTTCGCCGTCATAGTCCAACATCACACTTTCTGATCAAATACAGCAGTAAAAGTCCCCTGCAGAGTTCCTTTCTTAAAAGAAGGCCTTCTCTGTGGCCAAGAACACATGCTGCGCTATGATATCAGTGTGAATTAAAGTGTATCAGCTTGAACTCTATGCAGAAGTATTCTATAAGCTTCTAGCACTACTGCTAAAGCACAACATAAGCTCAAAGAATCACTGGGAAAGCAATTAGATTCACCAACAAAAAGCTGACATTGCATATAGGCTGTCAAATTTGTTTACTATGAAGCACTGCCAAAAATATTTTATGCTACTTAAAATACTGATACTTTGTTTCTGAAGTCATTGTCCCTGTTTTATATAAACAGCTAATGAAACTCGGAAGAAGTGACTGACCATGGCTGCAGGGAACATTAGCAAAAAGGAACAGAACCAACTGGGAACAATTTGCAATTCTATTTGCTAGTTCCTTCTCAACTAAGGGGCCAAAGCTTTAACCAGAAGTATGAAGATGGCCCGTTTGTAAACACACCTGGGAGTCCTCAACCACAGCCCCAGACTGGCTTAAGTCAGCCTGGGTTCCACCTGCTGCTCCAAGGCGACGTTTCACCGGGACTTTATTAAGGACATAGGCACCAGATGCCAGTGGTTTATTCATCACCTGTGTATCAACAGATTAAAAAAAAAAAGAAAGATTAGATAGTCTGCTTTTTTAAAGCAGCAGTCATTTAGGAAGGCCGATAACCTTCACTGCTCAATCACTGGCTGACAAGAGCACAATACCTTTGACAGACTGCTGTGCATTGTTACAGCTGGAGTTGTGGTCAGGGGTTGCTGCTGGAGGTGAAGTTGGTGATGGAGAGACTGCGTGGGAGCCTGCTGTTGCTGCTGCTGCAGCAATTGGGGCTGCTGCTCACTGTCTCTGTGCCACAGTACCCTTATAAACCGATTGTTCAGAACTGCCTCTGTGCTGGAAATTGCCTTCCTGGCCTCGTCATTAGTTAAGTACTGAATTAGAGCAGCTTCAGGATCATTCTGGAAAGCCACCTAAATCAGAAGTTCATTAGAATGCATTATTTCTCAGGGAAGAAAACACCTCAACCAATCTACAAGTAATCTGCAATAATGAGTGGGATATCCAATGATATCAACAGCTCAAAATAAAGGTAAAACAGTCTATGTAATTAAAGCCAAGTACCTCTTGACAAATATTAGACATGCTTGCAACATAGCCTACATACAGGAAAATAAAATTAAAAAAAAAAAGATTCCTCCACCAAACAGCATCATATATTCAGAGCACTGTGAACTGCCATTGGAGTATGGCTGAAGAGATCCCTTTGCTGACTCCAAACTCTTTATCATAACCCCTGAAAGACGACTGCTCTCTGAGGATGTACAATGCAAAGGGTCACCACAGTCTCAGAGAAGCATTATCTAAGTCTTGAATAAGAATATGTTTCTCTAAATATTAATCACAGAAATAAAACCTTATCTTGGACTTTCTAGTATAATGATTGAGATAGCATGGTTTAATGCATTATTTCATTATCAAGGTGCAGAGACCACCACAGTATCTTTTGGGCTAAGACATAAAATTATCAACTCAAGAAATACAGAGGCTTCCCAGGTATCCATCTTTTATTTAGAACTCTGAAGACTTCTGTTTTGTCCAGAAAAATTAATGGAAATTAAATGCTATTTTAACCACATAACTACCTGTGTTTTGCTCATAGTGTGTTTTTTCCCTTTCTTACAGCGCAGGGAATGCCACCGACCTGGAGACAGTTCCAGGATGCAAAGTGGTAACAAACTGATGCATACAAAGCCTCTCTTGTAGCATCTTTGTCAAAATCCTGACTACGAAATACTGTGGGACTATCATACCAGACAGAAAGTGTTAGAAGATCTCTATCAAAAATTATACACAAGTTACTCAAAACTCTGACTTGGTTTAGATACTGCTAAACCTGCACGCCTTGCAAATTCATGAAAGCTTCATGAAGGCACAAGCCAACACACTTTGACAGAATTAAGGTAATAATACAGAGTGGACCAAGAAAAGGTTTCTGTGAATTTGGTTACCTACTCTCCCAGTTAACCTGCATTAAGATTTGTCAGGGAATGTAGTTCAGCTGCAGCTGTACTCCAGAAGGCTTCAAGGAAAATAAATACCAACATATGGGCATAAAACGGAACTTTGTGTTTTACCTGAATGTTTACAATAGTTCCAAATTTGCTGAAATGTTCGTTGAGCTGTGTAATATTGTTCAATTCTGATGGAATTTTTCGAACTTCTAATTTTGTATTAGTATACTGATTCTTTTTCAAAAATCCTGGTTTATTCTGGTTGTTGTTTGCTTGCCTAAAGAAAATGAGAGCAAGAGGGCAGTTTCGATAAGCATACATATACTTAAGGCAGCAAATTGTTAACACACATTTAACTTTTGTTTTCTCATAAAATGTATATACTCCAGGCAGTAACAAAAAAGAGCTGCTTTCCACCACCAAATACTTAGTGTCCACCTTATGTGGACAGTGATTTTTCTGACCCACCCAGCTCAAATTACAGGGCCAAGTGAATAGCTGTATTCACAGTATTGATAGCAATAAAGTGCATTCCAATTAGTCAACTGCAGTTGTTAATTCTTACTTTCCCAGCCATGGTTTCTTTAATGGTGGACATTCCATGCTACTTGGAGATCTTTTCCTGCTGTCTGGTTCAAGGACAACTCTAGTTACATTGCTGCTATTATTTGTAATGGGAATGGGAGGTTCAGTCTGGATGATAATATTGGCAGCTGGAAGAAAGGAAAAAGCCCTCTGTTATTTACCATACATCAATAGAGACAGCGGAAAAGCTTTCACTGTAACAGCAAAATAGGATTGAGTTTAAAAACATAAAAATTAGGAAGACTTGATAAAAGTTGGTCAATTTTGTTTATGAAGTTACTTCAGAGATCACTTGCTAACCTAATTAAACAGTTTGAGGAAAACAAAAATTTAGTCCAGCCAGAAGGGATGAGATTTTGACCTTTAACATTAGTATTAGCTTGAAGAAACAAAGCTAAAACTTCATCTTTCAGGTACTGAAAATTCACATTCTGCAGGAAAAGAAAAGAAAGACAAAAAGAAAGACAAAAAGAAAGACAAAAAGAAAGACAAAAAGAAAGACAAAAAGAAAGACAAAAAGAAAGACAAAAAGAAAGACACTGCAGGAAAAGAAAAGAAAGACAAAAAGAAAGACAAAAAGAAAGACAAAAAGAAAGACAAAAAGAAAGACAAAAAGAAAGACAAAAAGAAAGACAAAAAGAAAGACAAAAAGAAAGACAAAAAGAAAGACAAATCCAAACAAGGCTAGGTTCCCAGGCTTCAGCTCAGAGTTATACAGTGTGGCACGGGCTGAATAAACAACCAACTTTCCCTCTATTAACCTTTGACAATGAAAAGCAACCAAGAACACGTTCCTTCCGCTGCTACCCTCTTGTTATCCCTCCGTCCAGTTTTCAGCAACAAACTGTTAATTAAGCATAACTATGGCATGAAATTATACTCTCAAAGACATTAAGGTTTGAAGCAACTTGTACAAGCACAAAGCTGAAGCACTAGGTTACAATTTGCTGACCTTTTGATTATGCCAAGATTATGCCATTGCTGTTAGTCTCCTGCATATGCCAAATATTCAACTCCTAAAAAGAAGTCTGAGTTATAAGTCAATTTTCTGTGGCCTTTATATATGCCAGAGCTCTGCTGATTACACTGGTGAGAACAAAGACCGGGCATTTCTGGGCATACAGTTCTAATCTTACTTTGGAGGATGATTTGAGAGTAAACCTTTCACACACGTGACAAAGACAGTACAACAGGTGGCCTGAAGCACCAGTGCCAAGCACCTGCCCATGCCTTACAGCGGGAGTGGGTTCTTAGAGAGAATCTGAGGGCCACCAGTAAAGCCCCAACCCTGCCTTTGTGAGTTCATTAAGATGAAAACAGCAACAGCAATTTTTGCAATAATATTTAACCATATCCTGTATAAGATGAATCACTGGAAGGAAATATTGAAAAAACCCTATATTTCTTATCTACTGAATAAGAACCACTGAAGTGTAACAGTAACACTGAAATTTAACAACTTTAAGGATTGGGGCAGGAAAAGCAGGAGGGAAAAAGAAAGTTATGCTAACAGAGCAAAAATTTCTTTAAAGAGTCTTGACTTGTTCTCTCCCCTAAAAGAGATTCTCTACATGTCACCACTAAGTGGCTACATTCACATTCATCCAGTTAAGGATTCAGAATTACTTAAATGCAGACAGGGATTTCCATGGACTAAGAGAATTAGAAAGCTACTTGTGATGTTCATTTTAGAGAGAACATCTGGCTGACAGTCAGACTACCAAGTACAAAACCATGCGACAGTTCCCCTCCTCGCTACATTAACAACTGCCGAGGCAAGTATTGTACCCATCGCATCTGTGCCCCAGGTCCTAAACATGCGCTTGGCAAATCCCAAGCAGTCTTCAGACCGTACTGCTTAAAGCCACCTTTCTGCACAAGCTTTCTTCCTAGAAGCACCCAGCACCCGAAAAGTGCCTTCACAGGCTAAAGAAGAATAAAAACCCAGCCAGCCAACCAAAAACCCTGTAACATTCCCAAGCAAGTGGTTATTTTTAGTCAAAAAGGCTGCTTTGACTATAACGTTGTCATATTAGCATTTTAAAAAAGGTAGAGATGTCTGAAAATTGCTCAGAAATACTAGATCAGTGAGAAAAACTATTGCTTTCAGCCTGAAAAAGGGGAAAATAAGTGTTGACGGTCTTGGACAAAAATAGCAATAGCAATGACTAGAAACCCTTCCTACCTCTTGGATTTGTATCCATCTCCCCAGATGTTAGGCCAATTAGATTTGGACGCTGCGTTTGTGCTCTTGTAAAGAACTGTCGATACTGAGATCTACCAGCACTGGTAATACTAGGAGCTTCAGGGTTATAGCCATCTGGCTCATATGTATCTATAAAAAAAGGAGAGAAATGAAAGAATTTTTCAAATGAGTTTAAGACTCAGGGTTAGTTTTCCTTTAAGGAAATGCACGGATGTCCAAGAATCAGAAGTTGTTTTGGATGAAGGGAAGAGAAAAAAGAGGTCGTACAGCCAATGTGCGTAGCCATTTAAAACCCTCAACTGAACTTTACGCCCAAGTCTATCTGGGCATATTCTCTTTTTTTTTTTTTTTTTTTTTTAAAATCGGATTGTTACCATTTGTCAAAGGCGCACAGATCACAATAATCAAGTTTTGCTGATGAGCTGCCTGAAAAAGGAATGAGGTATCTGGATGACAACCTTCACAACATCTGACAGTGTTTCAAGGGGAGCCACAAAAGATTTAGTTTGAGTGCTTATTCTGTAAGGCCTAAGATGCAAAGAGATTTCAGGTCTTTGCTGCCCAACAGTCTGGTTTACTTCAGAAAAGAATTTTTAGGGAAGAAAGTACTTAAATGATTCCCAGAGAGAGCTGAGAAATCAGGGAATTTGACCAATACTTACCTATTAAACTCTCTTAATTTATGTAAGAGCGAGATCAGCTGCCTAGCTCCAGTAAGGTACTAAAGGTTAGATTAATTAAAAGGGGTAGTCATGATAACACAAGATGATGGAATTGACTCATATTGTTCCTCCAGCCCAAGGTCCAAATCAAGAATGATACATTTTTCCAATGAAAAAAAGGAAAAGCTATACAAGAACTAGAATGAATAAAGTCTATGAAAAGTCTGTGCATCATGGAACAGAAACGAATACCCATACAAGAGGACTTGACAGACTTAAAGTATGCTAAACGTCAGCTCAATATTCCACAGCAACAATGAAGACTCTAAAATTTAAAACAGATGCCCCAGAATTTCAATGCTGATGTTTTACAGTTGAGTTTCAGACTCTGCCAAGAACTTTCATTAACCTTGCATGAGCTGAACCATGAGTTCTTCCTCCAGGATTTTGCATACGATTGATGGCAAGAGGGCAACCAGCAGGTGCTACCATAACAGTCCAAGAACAAGACATGAGAATCTCCACAGATGTTTGGAGAACAGAATTACATAGTGCAACCAAAGTCAGTAATGCTCTGGAGCTAAGACAGACAGAATTGCCTGTTAGAAGAAGTTCTGAAGCTGAAAGAATCAGATGGCAACATCGAATCCCTGACAGTGTTTGGAGATAATTGAACAGATTATCTAACAATATAGTTGAATGACTGAAGTTCTGAAAAGCATGGAAGTCACAAAGGAAATGACATGGATCATGAACTAGAGCCCTCCTTTGATTAAAATTCAGAATATTTATGTAAAAAAACCCAGATGGGAATATTATAGGACATTGAGATGTAATTATTGTATTTTCCTCATGTAAAACATGGAAATGCCATCACTCCTTTCATTATCAAAGAAATGTAAGCTTTGTTGGATTTAAATTTAGCAGTCTAGGGCTCTCCAGGTATTTTGCTATTTCCCTTCATGAAAACCCACTTTTTAAAAATTTGAGCTCTGTTAAGGAAGATGGACACATCCATCTTTTTTTTTTTGAAGTTAAAAAGCTAGAAATAAGTCGATTCTGGAAAAAAAGATAGAAAGAAAACACTAAGGTACATGAAGACTGTAGAGACTACTGTGATATAGAGCTGAAAAAACCCATAAATCTCTCTCATCTGTAGTAGCCAAAACCAGATAAAGACCGAGTTAAACAGTAATTACAGGTTTGCAGATTCATCTTTTGCCTACTGATGTTCTACTAAGCAGCTTGAAGATGAAGGAATCCCTGTCTTATGCAACAATCTTATTGCTTTGAGCATATGTAACCCAAAGAAAGCTCCCCACACACGATCTTTCCTCTGACAGTGACAGAACACTACTGCTATTTCATGCAGTAACAGCAGATGAGTCTCTGACCACAAGGAAAGCCATCAGACTTCTTTTTAGATTTGTACGTACCAGAGGAAAACAGAGGTAATAATTTCTAATCACATATCAACAGGAATTTTTAAATTTATATCTCAAGCAGATTTAAAAAAAAGGTATTTGCTTACGTTCTGACACTGTATACAGTAGGTTCTGGGGTAAAGGAGGAGGTAGTCTTGCTCCCACAGGTGCAAGACTGGGCACTGCACTTGTCCCAGGCTGGTCACGATTATTTATCAAACTTGACTGTGTTAAAGGTGGTCCTACAATGACACCATAGAATAGATCACTAAGACTTATAACTCCACAGATAAAATGTGCAAACAGTTCAATGCAATTTGCTTATGCCTTGCTTTGAGCAAGGTCGAGATTGTAAATATTTACACACCCACCACAGTAAAAGTAAGTTGAAAAGCCCCACTCAGGTAAGTTACTCCGATTCCAACACCTTTTGTCTTTCCCAGAAAGGACAAAGCTTTAAGGGGGGGGGGAGGGAAGGGAAGGAAAAAAAAAAAAAAGGTGTCTTTACTTCCCGAGAGTTTTCTTATTGTCAGAGCTTGCATTAGCTAAAGCAGCTCCTCCCTCAGCTCTGCCATGGAGAATCAAGGCTTGCTCAGAGCAAGAGATTTTATCGGCAACATTTAGATTACAGTTCTAAACCAAGAACTACAGGGCAAAAGACATTCACAGACAAGGAATTTGTCTAGCTATTTTTGCTTTGTTTGCACCACACACATACACACATTCCAACTTACTATATGCCCCCAAAAGGACACTGAGTTACACTGCGCAACCTATCAAGACATGACTACAATCAGAGCACACGTCAATTCACTCGACAGCAAGCCAATCTACCCACTGAAAGGCTCATGCAAAGTTTAGGGTTAATCCTCTATAAAATTACTTCTCATCCCATAGCTGCTGCTATTTGATACAACTATCACAGCGTGTATTGTGTTACTGGAATAAAGAGTACTGAAACAGAGTAACCACAAATCTAATACTCTATTTCTTCATAGAATTTACATTATAAGATGCAGTAAGATAACAAAAAAGGCTAAACAGTCTCAGAGATCACTGAGCTAAAAGGTCTTAGATGTATCAATTATCTGCTACTAAAAAGCAGTACATAACATAGCACAAACACAGAAATTTATTAGAACTTCTAGGAGATTAAATCTCAACATTATCACATTAGGGAAATAAAAAAAGCTAGTAATCCAATTGTCAGTGATCAATCCAAACACCACCAGGGCTATGAGATAATCTGAAAGATACCCCCCCTCCATTTCCCTGCCCAATTTATCTCATTAAATTTGGAGTGATAGGAACATCATATTTTACAAGCTGATTTTTCAGTTATTTTGGCAATACTTTGAATAGCACATGGCTAGCAAAGACACTTGAACTCATTTCTTCCAATACACATAGGTCTTCAAGAAGGAACCATCATTTTAACATGGTGACGTAAAGAAACACAGAACAACGTTCTGACTTACTTGGTACGGGAAGCACCACAGGAGGTGGTGCCTGCGGATGAGCTTGTGGAACCGGCAGCCTCATATTACGAGCTGGACCTGGCATAGGGGGCAGAAGCATACCAGGAGGAGGAGGAGGAAGTCCGGGAGGTGGTGGAGGAAAAGGAATCATACTTGGCAAGGAAACTTCATCTACTACTAAAGGATCGTTTCCGTGATCAAACTGGCAAAGATCACCAAGTACGCAAAACCCTCGCTCTGCAAAACAGGACATTTAATAGACTTTTTAGAAAAATAAATAAAATTAGTTGTCAGTGATTTGTAGCATCTCACTTTTTGCTGGGATTTCTTAGTAAAGAAAACTTGCAATCACTGATCCAACATTATGTTATCAGATGAGGTTTCAAAGTAATTCAAATTAGAATGATCTTCAATAAAAGCATACAGACATACATGCATCCGTCATAAAAGCTGTGGGAAAAAGTCAGTCAGAAGTACCACCTGGTTTATATTAAACACATACACTGCAATCTTTATCAGAACCACCAGTGGTTGAAATATTTGCCAAGCATATACAGAATTGTGAACAAACTCTGCATGTTCTTATGCAGCAACTGTCAGATTTTAAGTAACCTGCTTCCAGTAAGACCAGTTATTTCCCCAGTAAAATATAGGTCATATATGCATCTTTTACATACAAGGTATACTCCACATGCTACTGCATTGTGGCTTGCTGCCTACATTTAGTGAATACCTAAAAAAACCGTCACAGAATAATTGAAACAAGGTATGAAACTGAAAACTAAGAAACAGTTTACCATCATAATCTCGACATCTTCTCTTAGGAGGAGGGTTTCTGCCAAATGAACTGGGATTGCTATGATTGTTATAGTAATTTGACCAGCTCTCTGTTGTGCTTTCAAGATGGTGTGCAGGTGCAATTACAGTGACAGCACTGGGAATAGTTTGTGCAGAGGAATACTGTTCAGTAGATTTACTGGGAGACACGGTAACTGGATTATACGAGCCTTCAACATCATTTCTTTCACTCTTGAATTTCGATCTCTCTCGGTGCTCTGTTTAAAACAAAAAGTTAGGTAAAATCTTTATGTTTTGTTCTGTATGTTACAGCCTTGAGAAAAAGATAATATACAATAGTATGAACTTTCCTTAAATATTCAGTATTCTGCATGTTAAACTGTTCTTAAGGAGCTTAGTCCTATCAATGGAATAAGAAATAAATATAATGGAAACTGGTTTTTAACTTCAGAAATCTAAATGTTTTCTTTGCAAAACATACACTCATTCCTCCACTCCTTATCCCATTCTGGATTACAGCTTTCTCTTTTAAAGTCGAAAGAGGGAGGGGAAAAAGCCTGAAAAAACAATCCTATCCCCCACCCTTAACTGACGTGGTCTCAACATGCGTTGAAATAGGTTGTAATCTGTGCCTCTCGTTTTTCCAACAGACCTGAATTAGCCCTAAAAGAACAACAGATCATATGGTAATCACCTTCAATTACAAAGAAACTTTCCTCTAAAAAATACACAGTAACAAAGTGAAAAAGAGGGTAACACTATTTTGCAAAAAGATAGATCTTTGGGGGAAAAAAAATTAAAAATCAACATCTTTGTCAACAGACACAGTGCAAAAATATCAGCTACTGATATCCACTGGTATACACCTGTGGATAAATTAAGAGGTTAGCAAAGAAGAAAACAATCCCCTTAATTGTTCTACTCTGAAGAACAGCATCTTTAATTAATAATTTCAGGAACACAAAGCTCTCAAAATTTGCTCCAACTACTCAAGGACATCTACAACTTGCTAGACCATGCAGTAGGCAGGAGTCACCACACATCACTGACACGAGATGTTCTGCTAACACAGCACCTTGGGTACTCACCAACACTCCTGCTTGTATCACGGTCTTTGCTTCTTCCTCTGCTGCGGCTGCGACTTCGACTTAACCCTCTGCTTTTACTACGACTTTTACTCCTGCCTCGTCGCCAGCCAGACTTCTCTCTGTACAAGTCACTCCTGTCGTAATATCTGTCATAGTCCCTCCATTTACCATCATCTCTCTTTTTCTCTCTGGTTCTAGAAAAGACACATGCGGACCGTGTTTATGAAAAGAGAAACCAAATCACAAAACAAGCTTGCAACAAGTTAAGATACTGTTCATCCTTCCCATCCAATTTGGACAGCGCAACATTCAAGTCAGAATTTCCCAAATTACACAGGAAAGTACAGAGTCTTGAAGTTGAATCACTAATTCGTAGAAATGAGCAAGGAGAGGACTAAGAAGAATTGGAAAGGTAAAAAAGTTAAGATGACCAAAACAGAACAATTTTTCAAAGTGATGTTGACTATGAACAACCCCAAAAGACCCTCCCAGCAATGCTTTTCATTTAGGTAACAAGGCAAAGAATGGAATTGATGACATTCCTGGTATTAACATTTGAAAAATACTGTCATTTTTTTCAGAAGGGACCAACTTCTAGTGAAAGGTTCTCATGCACGTGATGATCAGCCTATAGATAATGTATTCCAGATGGAGAAAAGGAGGGAGGAAATCACTATTTTTATGAAAAATCACTACCTACGAGGTAAAAATCCACAGTTAAAGATTGCCAGTTAATGCAGAAGACTATATTAATATTTTGGTTCAAAACTAACCTTTGTTCACTGGAATCTGCACGACTTCTCTGTGGACTGGAATACTTCTTTTTCCTGCCATCCCGCTCTTCTTCAACTGACTCTTGAAAATTCTGCTTAAGAGACAACTACCAACCAAGGATGAGTATCATTTTTCTTTTATTTGAAACGAAGAAAATCAGACCAAGATTTACTTGCACAGAATACTTAATCAAGCACTGGAGGTTGTTGGGCTTTTTGTTTCAAATCTTTCAGGTTTTTCTGGAGAGGAGAAGCCTCAAAATAAAACTTTTTTTTTTTTTTTAAACATGATTCATGAAAGACAAGTTCTTCATCCACTCTCTATCCCATCAGAGTAAGCAATTCTACAAATTAGGTATTTGCTGCATCTTGTAACTGGAGCACAACTAAGGAGAGTTACTTCTCCAAGTAGATATGTCACTAGCTTACACTTCAAAATTAATGTTTCAAAGCAAAAAACTGTTCACATGGTTGAACTAGTCACATTTCTTGCTGGCCTCAACAAAAGCAGTTTTAGAAGTCTGTCAGCTATACCACTACCGTAAATCCCTTTGAACCCATGTTGTACTTTTGCTGCCATTTTACACTGCTTAGAAGTTACTGCAAATTTTGGTGGCAAAAGTTTACACGCAATAATCTTTAAATTATTTTTTCCCATTAAAACAAAACAAAAAGGAAGGCTTCCTGCATCCTTGTTTAGGATTATCTAGGGAGAAGACTTAGCGTGACAGGGCTCTGGACAGCCTAGCCTAAGGCCCTGCTTTCACACGCGATTCTATCACGGGATACCTGGGGTCCCTTCCAACCCAGACTTAGCTATGATTCTACACTGGGTTTGTTTTGTGTCCTCCATTTGATGGAGTCACGTAATACACTGAGCTGTATGACAAATCATCAAGGCCTTACTGATGTTGAAATGACTAATTAATGTCCTGATCCTGTAAAGCTGTCCTATAAAGCTGTCCTACATATCGTCTTTTGCCTTATCCTTGCCCCTGCCCCCAAACCCCCCCTCTTCCCCCCCACCAGATGACTGGTTAAGTCAACTGAAGGTGGTTCTACAACACCTTTTATAAATTATGACAGTATTTTGAGAACTGATCAGAAAACCATTAAAGTGAAGGTTGCCAATTATGAACTTCCATCACCAAAGCTACTTCCATGAACTGTCATAATTCTGGGTCTCATCCTCAGATAAAAAAGGACATCAGAAAAAGAGAGAAAAAAACCCGAAAGAGCAATTTTAATTTGCATCAACTGATGAATCACGTTCTGTCAAATAAGGACCTGCATTCTGCAATATGATATAACACAGCTTTGTTTTGGTTGACTGACAGACTGTGATCTGCAATTATTTGTCACCTTCATGACCATTGGCCAGTTTTAACTCTGAAGATAGAACAAATAACTCCAGCAAGATCTTTCCTTCATGTTATTTAAGGCTCACAGGCAAAAGCACAAATCTGAATACCATTTAGAGTACCTGTCAGAAAAGAACCACTCCCCACAGTCCATTTATAAAGAGAGCAACAGTTTGTGCTCTTAACACTGCATGACATAAGCATCCCTGGAGTGAGGGGAAAGGACTAGAATTTCATAATTAAAACACATATTCAGTCCAAAGTACCTTTGCAAACTGTGATCAGAGTATACAGAAATAAAGAACGTTTACTCCTATAGCAATTTTTCCCCCAACCGTCTCTCAAAGGTAGTCTACTAAGGTGCTACCAACAGAGAAGAGGGCTCTTCCCTTCAAAAATCACCAACTTAGAAGGAAAAAACTATCTATCTTAGACAAGGGATAGCAGAGGATGATACAACATGCAAAGAGATTTAGACAACTATGGAAATATTACTTTGCTTTTCTCAAAAACTTGATTGTTTTTAATTTTGTCAATAAAACTCAAAACAAGATAAAAGGAAGAACTGTTGGTAAGCGAATGCTACCTCACTTTTAAAAGTAATTATCCCTCAATATTGAGACCATCATATTTCACTGATTTTAAGTGTTACAGAAAACATTTAAAATAATTTCTATTCCTCACAGAACATACAAAATTGGAAAAGGAAATGTTTTGGAATGATTTTGCTTCTTCGCCCTCTTGCAAACCCTTCCAAATCATTATCAGCTCATATTGTCAGGGACAGGATTACTGAATGCTATTAATCTAGATCAAAGGTAGACTCTACAATGGGATTTTAAAACGTCCTTGTCTGAATGGTCATCTTCTATTTTAATTCAGATGCACAGAGATCGTAAAGATCATTAATCACAATAAAGTGGATTTTTCTTTCACATTTTGCCTCACAAGTGTACAGGATGGCTAATTTGAAAATTAGAGGTAGGTAGACAGAAAAAAATAATGTTACCTCCTCCTTGACTTCTTCTTTTTCCTGACCTGCAGGCTTCACTTCTACTTTCGTGGGTTCAAGAGAAGGAAGATAACTTTTTGTGTACAGACTTTCAAAAAGTTTATCTACAAAACCTGAAGTTTCTGAGGATACAGAACACAAGAAAATATTGTTACATAGTGATTTAAGGGTAGTGTTAGGTTTACCAGAGAAGTCCGTGAAAAAAGTCATCCAGGAGGACTGCTCACAGCAGCAGCTTATATTAATGAACAGTAGTTCCATTTGAGGAGCTGGAATTACATTTGTGGAACTTGAGGTTGTTTGTTTAGACAAAGAAATTCATCAGGTATATCAAAGACAGAAAAGAGTGTTCTCCTTCAATCACATTTACAACTTTGAAATGTTCTAAGGGGCATGCATGATCGAAACTTATGATCAAAGAATAAGCCCACAGTTATTCCATCAGCTACTGTTAGCAGCCTTTTTACAGCAATTTTATGAGAGTAAATAATTCACAGAAGACTAACCATTGCCTTACATCAGATTGCAAAAAAATGCACAATAACTTCCCCAGCGAGCGTCAGAATTTCAGTTGTTTAAAACCTTGCATTTGAACCAAATCGCTATGAGAAGCTCACTAGAAGCCTGAAAGATTAATATGAACCATATGGACCAAGTTTTCAAAAGTTATCACACATCTGTCAGAGAAACTTCTGGCAGCATGACTGACACTTTAAAATGAAATTGCTAGCTTTTATTTCAGAGGATTTCCTCCCACCCACCATGAACAAGACCAAGCTACACAACTTCAGTGTAGATTTTTTTTTTTCTACATCATAAGATCTTTATTCCTTCACACTCTGTAAGAAATAGTCAATTCTCCGATAACAAGAAGTATTTTGAAGGCATCAATGATGCATCATCCTTCCTTCTCCCTCCTCCCCCCTAATGAAATGAGACCCGCCGAGCAGATAAAGCAGTGGAGAGCACAGTACCTTTTTGCAGAAAGACATCCAGCTGATCAGCACAGAAAGCCTTCAGCTCTTTCTCCGGCTTGTCTTTCTTGACTAATGCCACAACATAGTTGGCTAAGGCTGAGGGGTCTGCGTCACATCTATTGAGAGAAAGAGCCGTTCTTGATTCTGCCAACGCACCTCAAACCCCCTGTGCTGGACAACCACTGTGAGAGAAGAGCCAACGAAGGAAACCTGGCAGCACGGGCCGTGAGCTTTTCTGACATCTCGCACTGACATCGCTGTGCTGGGATGACTGAGCCAGCAAAGCTTTTCTCCAATTACAGCACAATGTATTAGTTGCCTTATTACCACCCCCACCACACCTGACAACGTTCCCACTCTTTGCTCCTTCCTGAGCTTTGCTTAGGAAAAACTACCTTTCCTCTTTTGTACAGAAAGATCCGATTCTAGGGCAACTGAGCAGATACCATTGTTTTAACTTTCTCTAAGCACAGCAACCACCACCAAGTATGACTCTACAAGAACAGCAGAGCAAGTCACCGCACGATTATTGTAAAGTAGTAAAGTGGTTTTAAAGTATTAAAACATTATTAACATGAAAAGTAGTTCAGAAAGATATATTGCAAAAGTGCATTTTAAATAGGCACACAGATACGTTCTGTACAGCTTAAGTTACTGTGCTTAACATACTGGGGTTTTCCTCCCCATGGACTATTTCCATGCCTACAAATTTTATAATAGTCCTTTAACACTAGTAACATGCCTAAAGGGGTGCAATTATTCATACAGATTCACTGTCCATGCTACCTAAGCCCTTATCTAGCTTCACAAAGGCCCAAGATAGCCAACTTTGTGCAGCAATACTCTGCCACTAATCTTTAAATTGGATATTGCTTTAGATTCCATTATTCAGCTACTAGAAAAACAAAGTATGAACCAGATTAACAGTGTTAAATGATTAAGCAATAGCTCCTCATTTTGCCTCTCTCAAAAGATGCAGATGCAAGCTATCAGATGGCAGGCAGGAACCTAAGATAGTTTGACGATTTAAAGGGCTTTTTAAAAGATTCATATTTAGAGAGGCTATTGTGTATTTTCTAAGAACATGAACTATGGAAATAGAAGGAAACAGTATAAAGTATATAGACCTCAAAATAATCTCAAGTAAAAAAATAATCCAGAAAACAAACAAAACGCAAAAAGCTCACAGCTTGATGACAACTGATTAGAGAAAATAAAAACCCTCGCTGGGCAGGCAATCAAGCAGCTCTACTCCAAATTAGTTTGCTCACTGTTCCCAACACCCGATGAAAGCCATGTTAAATGTGGGAAGTAACAACAAAGAAACCACAAATTTACAGATTTTACAATTCTTATGCACACACTCTCACAAAAAGAAATAAACTGTATGTAAAGTATTCGGTGCCAGTGCCCACATGCAACTGACTATAAACCTCCAATTTAAAATAAAGGAGATGCTCCATCACTTTATAACCATTCCCGTTCCTTTCTCCAAATATTAGTTTCTCTTAGGCGTTACGTTACAGGATGCATTACAGGAGCACACATAAAGTGTGCACACTTCTCCAGGTTAACCATTGTGGATCTTCACTTCTGAATCCTCAACTGCCAGGACCCACCAGCAAATTCTATGATTCTCTGCCACGAGCCCTTGTCTCCAACTCGCATCCCTACAGCGCGGGTCAGGTACCAAAGGAAAGCTGGAGAGCATGGCAGGTTGACCAGAATTGGCGGTGACGGCGAAGGAGCAAGTTACGCTCCAGTCTAGACAGACTTTGAGAAGCACCTGACCAAGTATCAGAGAGACTCTTTATCTTAAAAGAGAAAAAAGGAAAATCACAAAGAATTTTCAAAGCCCTACTACTTAATGAGTACAGCTGAGTAGTTCTGAGGCCTATTTAAAATACAAAAATAGAAAAATATCTGTAGAAATATCAGCTAACCACACATTGTAAATGTACCTTCTGCAACTCCAAACAAGTGTTAGCTTTACTTTGTGGAAACTGTAAGTCTGGCTAGTCCCCAAGAAGTTCGCTTCCTTTACAAGACCCTTGCTACAGGCGAAACTCCGCAGAAGACCCCACTACACCTACGTGACGAGCGTTCAGCCAGCGTGCACGGTGCTTCGCAGAAACACAGCGCTCTTCATTACCAACGCGACCCCTCGAAACAATCCTCCCCCCC